TACCTGCGTGTAGCAAATAAAACACACTACACGCTCAGCGGTAAAGCTGAGTAAGCATATCTAATGCGTCGAACATCCATATAAACTGAATCTAAATTCATAATCAAATCATTTGATATCATGCACACAATGTTCACTTCAGACATTCACAGTTTTGGTATTATTCAGTTCATATCAACACATTTTATTCAATTCAGATATTAATCCAATAGTGCTCTTAAATTATTCTTAATCTAAGGCCAGATCATAACAACGCTCTTAGCTATTCTTAGTCTAAGGCCAAATCATAATAATGCTCTTAGCTATTCTTAGTCTAAGGCCAAATCATAATAATGCTCTTAACTATTCTTAGTCTAAGGCCAAATCATAATAATGCTCTTAGCTATTCTTAGTCTAAGGCCAGATCATAATTTCATTCTCAGACGCTTAAACTATAATTAGTTTAAGGCAAACATTTCTCAGACGCTTAAACTATAATTAGTTTAAGGCAAACATTTCTCAGACGCTTAAACTATAATTAGTTTAAGGCAACAGTTCTCCGACGCTTAAACTTTAATTAGTTTAAAGCAAACAATACTCAGACGCTTAAACTATAATTAGTTTAAGGCAACAATAAGACAATAATTAATCATCATTGAGTCGAAGTATTTCCAAACGAGTGATCCTCTAGCTTAGTCTACGAATCCCGTTTATACATTTTTATCTAATTCATCGAATATTCATGTTTCACAAATTCATACTAATATGACATCTATTCTAGAGGTCTTCTAGATAGCCTTAACATCAATTCTCTAAATGTGTATACCTTAGAGTTCTTCTAGATACCCTTAACACTACAAATCATTTCATAATTATAAATGTATTCATTTTATTCATGATTCAATCATAAATACTTATTTTAATCAGTAAGTTCAAATACTCATAATCATCCATAATATTCATTTATCATAATCATCAATTAACACAACAATTGATAATAAATAGCGGCCTAGCTTCGAGTGTTAACACCCGAACTTATCGTCATGCAACACATAACATTTTTTAGTTGTTAAAAACATCATTTTTATTATGGTAAATCATTTTTATAATGTTCATAATCCATTGGTATCAAAAATAGGATTTTAGAACTCAAAAATAGCAATTTCAGACAAATTTTTGGATCAGAACTTCGGGGGATCGATCCAGCCCTCTGGATCGATCCATACTATGAAAAATTACTCCCAGGGGATCGATCCAAGCCCCTGGATCCAGACAGTGGCTTTTCAGCCACTGTTCATCGTCTTCTTCGTTCGGGTCCAATTTTGGAAATACCGTTTTTAGTTATCGAACTTCAACGAAACTATATAGAGATGTTCTCCAAGGTTCATAGATCATTTTGGCATCATTAATTCATAGTTTTAACATCAATTTCATGATTTATGATTCTTGGTTCTTCAAGCATGTCAAACACAAAACTCAACCAAACGATCGTTTATGAACGTAGAAACGATCTATATGAACATTCTAGTCACTAGATATATCTACGGGCTTACCTCGAAGCTTAACGAAGGTTTTGGATATTTTCCGGCGAAACTTCCGGCGAGGTTTGTGGTTAGCTCCGGCGACTTCACAACAAAATGGCAGCACCAGTGCACTCCTCTCTCAACAAGGAACAGAATAGAAAGAAATATGGAGTGTTTTAATGAAGAATTGAGTAAGATTGAATTCCTTATATAGAGAAGGTGAGAGGGAAGAAGACGCAGGATGATGATGATGGATTGGCTAGTGCGCTAGGAGGCGCCGATGGAATAGGTCTCTGATTGGGACCAATTTTGGTTCCAGTCATAGTACACTTTTTGGTCCAACTTTCTCCGAATAGAACTCCGTTTGCACCGTTGCGACTAGGCAGTCAAGCTCTATTCAACGACATAGGTTTTGTATTTATTCGTTATACTTTTTCCGATATCATATTTTTGGGTATTTGGCTTTGACAGAGTCAAAATTGGTTTAATTGACCTTCCTAATAAAAGGTTCTCTCATTTAATTCACATCAATTATTCTCATGATTTATTTCAACAAATCATTTCAATATTTACATTCTAAACAAATTCTTTATTTACTCTTGATTCGGGTCTGTACTCAGGTTTCCAATCAAGACTACACAATAAGTCAACATATTGGATTTATCTCTATGAGACTTATCCAGATTTTGATATTGAATATTAAAACATATTTCATTTTGGCCCAAAGCCCAATAACAATTATTATTATTATTATTAATCAAAATAATTTGATTACTTGAATAATTATTCATTAATAATTCTAGGGTATATTTTGGGGCGTTACAAGTTTGGAACGGGGGCGATAGTTGAACAGATGATGATGATGAGGATGTTAGAGGAAAGAACTGAAAAAGACGAGATGCAAAGAAAATGTGGCTACGCAAAATGGGCAGGGGAGGGTGTGAATGAGATTGGAGAAAATATGTTGCGAGTACAACACTTTACATTTTAAAAACGCCAAATAAGGAAATGGGAAGCCCCAAGGTAACTGAGAACAAAATTATTAAATGGAGGGAGTATATAAAATATTTAGCTTGTCCAATAATTTAGCTTCGAGTCATGTGGGAAGAAACATTGTCAGACATGCTAATAGAGTCATGTCTGACAATGTTTAAGCTTTGAGAACATAATGAACTAAATCAAAATGAAAAATTGAACTTCTCTTGTCTCTTAACTTCCAATGGCGTTTTAATGCATCAACACATCAAGAGTCTAACGATACAGCCTCTGGTTTCTTAAAGGGTAAGGTTACGTACATCTTGACTCCCCACACCCCCCAACGGAGTTGAGATTAGGCTGGGTTTAATGTTGATGTTTTTTGAATACAAAACGCAGACGCAAAATTGGCAGGCACGATGATCTGGCATTTATTTCCAAAGAAATGAATAACAATTATACAAAACAGAAACTTTTTGAAGGAATAGCTGCATTTTGAAGAAATGATAACAGCTGAAAATCAAGAGATGAATAACATACTCTCAGGAATCCTTGTTCTAATATGAAACCCAAAATCATTGGCACTGCACTAAATACACCAATCTGAAAAAGAAACTGTGCATTGAGAGCAGCATTTAGTGCAGCATTATCAAATATATCTGCTCTTTCTTGAATCGTTTCACCAACCCCAAATTACGCCTGAGACAAGAAATTCAGGTGCATCCATCGGGAATATAGCTTGTAAAATTTAACAATTACAGTACATCAGATGGGATTCATCCATTAAGGCAACCATGGCAGACCGCCTTACTACCTAAGCGTCGATTAGGCGACGCCTTAATAACCATGACTTAGTGATAAAAAAAATGTAGTTATGTATCAGAACATACCAAATAGGCTCTCCCATGGAGAAAACTATAGGCACTGAGCACTGTTAACTACATAAACAAATGATAGCGAGCCATTAGATACATGAGGCAAATAGCCATTTACATGTTCAAGTATATAGACGACCAAAACAAGCAATAGCAATACTTGTACATGACATCTAATAAAAGTAAGGATGCGGCAATATACACCCCTAGTTTAATAGATACACCTAATTTTGAAGAAAAAAAATCAATCTAGCAAAATTGATTTAGCACATTTAAGAGTGTCAGAAAACACTAGTGTTTGCTGAAGAAGTACCAACACTCTGCTAACAGCCTCACACAATGATGAGTGTTCTGGTAATCACTGAAGTTGGAAGTCAATGAGTGTCCAAAGAACACTCGCCAAACAGATGCTAAGCTAGTGTTGGTCAAGTGCCTTCGTTGTGTTCTGCGAGTTTGAGCAGGAGTTGGGTGTATTTAGAAAGTAATGGGGTGTATTTAGCCGCTCCCTACATGTATTCCATTGGAAAGAACTGTGTACCATGGTACAAAAGTAGTATCCCACAGTTGTGAAGTAGAACGATAGCATTTTGAAGAAATCAAAAAGCTGACCAAGCCTGTAGACATCTCTACTAAGGACTTGTTCCCCGTTACCACCTGCAACTTTCCCCTCAAACAAAGCAATCTGATTGAGTCCAACATCTCGTCCCTTGCCAACCTATAGAACATCATTAGTGATATCATTAGCTGATAAGTATCATGAAATACGACCTCCACATACGAGCGAGAGAGAATTTAGTAACCTGGAGGTATTCGTGGTGAGTAACATTGCCCTAGCACAAAGTTGAATTGAATCCTGCATTTTAGTTAATATAAAGAAAAGGAATTACAACCTGTCGTTACATTACAAACCTACGCGCATAAGCTGATTTGATCCACTATGAACTTGTGTCGAATCCACTTCATGCTTATAATACATTGCCACAATTTTTGAGGATTATTAAAGGTACATGGATGTTATGAGTCTAGGGTTTCATTAATTATAACTCCTGTCCAGAAATTTTCCTCACATTCCTTTCTGGACCATTTTAAAGTTTTCTTTCCATTTCCTTATTGGGCGAATCATTGTGTAAAATACCTTATTTACCCTTTTTCATTCTTTTCCCTCATTACTCCACTCTAACTCTAGATTTATCCGCCGACAGCCATCACATTTTCATTCTTTCTTCATTCTTCCCTGTCGATTCTTCTTCTTCCATCAGATTTGTACTTGCCATCTTCTTCTTCCATTATTCTTTTTCTCCCTTCATTTTTTATCTCTTTCTTTCAACTGAATAGTTTTAGAAGATCTACTCCATGGCAAAATATACTCCAACGTATGGGTTCCGGATTAGACAGGCCGCAGCATCTCAAAGCTAGGAATTCCTCCAAGCGCCACAAGGAATTCCATGTGCCGTCGTAGTAGCAAGAGCAGAGGCCGGAGGTGGAGGAAGGCAACTCAAGCTGTAAATTTCCAGCTTGTATGTCGTCTGATAACTTAGGTAGTAGCATCTTGTATGTCATGGAAAGGACAAATCTAAAGTTGAAAGAATGGCTATCTTTTCTCACCATGTAAATATGTAATAGATTATGCCTAGGTGCATCATTTTTCATAAAATCGGTAGATTAATTGGAAGAGATATCCAGGGTTTTAAGTCTTTCTGAGACATACAAAATGGTTTTTTTGGTAGCAAACATTGTCTATGTATCTTGTAAACTGTAACTTATATGCTCCAATTTGACTAGGAATGTTTTAAATAAACTAAACAAATGTTAACTATAGGCCATGCATATAAATATAGAACATATAGTAAGGATTAACACACAGTTAATATAGTATATTTCCCAAACTCTACACCCATAAGATTAAAATTAAACACAATAACATTAAATTATGAAACAAAATCCCCTTAAATGTGAAGTATTTTTACCAGAAAAAATATCTTCACTAATATTTATGACGCGAGATGCTTTGCTGATACCACCCCTAGTTATATGGAATAGTCTATCAAAGACATCTGGATGACCATAATGCATACAAACCCTGATGATCATTTCAAATACAAGTTAGACAGACTTTTCTTTCATAGTTTCATGATTACTCTGTAAATGCCATGGAACAACAAATATTCACGATTAACGTGAACTCACTTCAAAGGATTTGCTAGAACACGTTGGCCAAGAGTCACAAAGCTAGATTCCTGATTAGACATGAAGGATGCTAAAGAAGAAACACTGAGAAGATGCACAAGTTTAAAGAGTCAGAAGCCTAAATAAATGGACTCTGTAAGGGACAAAATACCTCTAATACCATACCTTCCAGTAAACACATGCTCCCTAACACCAAGAATAGTAGGGGGGCGAACTCCATGGTCACAGTAAAATTCTTCAAGAAGATTTCTGACCTTCAAAGCCTCCTCAAAGTAACTATCATGTCCACATACAAAGAGAAATAAATAAAAAAAATATATACTATCAATTTGCCCTGTAAATGACATTAAGGTCAATATCAATATAAAAATTATTAGTCACCTGATTCATATCAATGGTCTGTATTGCATTTCCACGTGTAAATATAATAGCATGATTTTGATTTTCAGGTTTCCCTTCACCAAGCTTTGGATTTCCAGGCAATTTCACAGAATATATTTCCTGTAATGATTCTAACAGCAATTAGAACATAAAATATGGCAGAAATGGCTACATTTGGCGAATTACTCCGATTTAGTGGAATCTTTCTGTTTATGGATTTTTCCTTGTTCCATTCCTCCAGATAACGTTGCCATGTAGGGGCTTTGAATTCAGAAAGCCATGGTTGTCACGTCGGCAAGTCACGTTGAGTAGATATATAGTAAATAAGTATAATACCCGTATTAACTCAAAATATAGTTGCTAAGCTAATAGAATAAACATCAATGGGTGTTGAAACAAAACTTAGTTGCAAAACATGTACGCAAACATTGAAGAAGAATATCCTTCTTTGCCCGTACCCAAAAGGAGGGGAGAGCAATCTGTGACTAACTTCTCATAAATAGATATTTGATGTCCACGATTCAAAACTCTATTAAGGATTGTCTAAGTATAAAAAGGCAAAGCCTTACAAGAAAGTGAAGAAACCTACCATAATAATACAAGAAAACATGAATCCAGATATAGGGATATTTACTAAAATAGAGTAAAACTACCAATAGGAGACTAATAATAATAATAATAATAATAATAATAATAATAATAATAATAAAAACAATAATAATAATAATCTACTCAAAATAACAACAACAACAACATCATCATCATCACCAACACCAATAGTGACAAGAATGATATTAATGACTGTATCATTACACCCCTCCGAACATCAAGCTTGTCCTCAAGCTGTGAAGAGAGAGATACGCAGCACCAGCACTTTCCACGAACAAACGACATCAAAATATAAGCACTCGTTTAGTAGAGTACAACACAGGAAAGAACGAACTGATGATATAACCCTGAGAATTACCGTGACACTCTAAGTGATGAACTTTGCAGAGCTAGACGTGACTTGCCTGTTGCGAAATAGACAATTACTACACCATTATTCCTCAACTGGCATGTGCATAACCAACCATGAATTCTTGTCTTGCCAAATAAAGTGGGTTAATTGACAGTGGTCTTTTGCGACTCAGTTACAACTTCAGTAATAGCTTCTGCATGCTTATGTGGTAAATAGCTTTCATGGCGCATGGCGATGGCCATGACGCATATATGGCATCGCCACAGGACACCAGTCACACAACCAATTTAATAAATTCATAAATGTATGAGACACAAAATGAATAAAAAATAATAGAGTACTTGATCTAAATCGTCATGTTGAAAATAAAAGCACGACAAAAAATCATTCCAAAACACCTGAAGGTGCTAGTATTAAAATAACTTAAGCAAAACATAAAACGTAATTCAAAATTAAGTTGATAAAAACTTTGATCTAGCAATTTAAAATATGAATATCTTATCATCACTCCCAAGAGGTCCAGGAAGTCAGAGGTTGCAGAGAGAGGCATGTAGCAGAGTTGCAATGATCCCATATCAGAGTCGCGCAACATGCAACATTCTTCCCTTCTAAAGCCGCGACTAGCAAAGAAGAAGAAAAGTTGTGATGGCGACGTTCTGTGTGAGGAAGATGAACGACTAGAGAAAGTGAGAGATGATTGACTAATTGAGTATCGTCAATCTCAATAAAGGGTTTTATTCGATTGGGCCCAAATATATTGGATAAATAAAACTTTGGGCAAAAAGAAAAAATGGGGCACGAATGGGGATGGCGCCAAAATGGCATTGCTATGGGAACACTGGTTGCCACAACCAGATTTGTGGTGATTATGAGCCCAATGGCCAATGGTTCATATATGGTGTGTGCCATTTGCGCCATCGATAAGCTTGGCAGTAACGACAGTAGTCGAGTAGGACTGTGGATAAAGCTTTTGACCCAAGGGTGGTGATGGTGGAAGAGGCTGTGGATATTGTGATTGATATTGATATTCATGTTGCGACATCTTTCATATACTTCATCTCGTATATGATAACCTCGAGCTGCCACCCTTTCCAAATATGCTTGAAGCATGAGAGCTTTTCGGTAGTACATCATTCCACACACTGCAAAACCCAAAGAATTGTGTTTGTAAACCAAAATCATAGAGTATAAGAATAAGCACATCTCAAAAAAGTTCAAAATATAAGCCATTTGTTTTTTTACAAATCTCAATATATTTTCTGAGCTACATTCTCACCCTTTCTCCTTTAAAAGTAACCAAATAAAAATGAGCACATACCATATTGTGTTTCCACTTGGTAAAAAATGGTTTTTCCTAGCAAACCACTTTTTTATTTCTAGTTTATACATTGATTGAGCAAGGAAAATTTAGGGAACAAAAACGGAATGCAAAAATTACTTCATTCATAATTTGTTAACACAAAGAGTTGAATGCATGCATCCATGCCATTGGAGCTAAAAGAGTTGTTAGTGACAATGTTTTGACTTCAAGTAATAGCGGATTAACTTTTTTTGCTAATTACTTTCTATGAAGTTTTAGGTAGTAAAAGCAACAATGCATCAAAAGGTCCAATGGAAAGACATGCTCAGTTTTTTGTACATCTTCACCTTCATACCCAAACAGGCTTGGGATTATTATGGGTTTTGATGTAAAAACAGCTGAACGCAGCATAGGCTGTAGGTGACAAAACATTGGTGGCATAAGACAGCAAATATATGAGTGAAACACGTACCAGTCCTAGCCAATGTTTGCCCTTTGTATGAAGCCCAAAAACGCAATTCAAGAATATCATTGGGATTATTACTAAGATCTGATTCTGATGTGTTTTCATCACGGCCAATCCAAGGAAGTTTCTCCACTCATCTGCATTCAACATTAATTTCTCTCCATGAACCATTGACACTACAAAATACTCACAATAATGAACCAACCTGTATAGGAAAAAATAACAAACAAGTCCAGATATAACAATGGCCAATTGAGTATTAAAGGCCAAAACATATAGAACCCTAATTTTAATATTGTATATTTGGATTCTGATAAGCGTCCAATCAGATTGGTGTATTCAAGAAGGAAAAAGCAGATGGCACAGGGTGGGCCGGCAGAAGTGGAGCAGCTCAAAATGTTAATGGGCATTTCAAACAACCCACTAAATGGCTGAGTGGGTGGTTACGTAGCAGTAACCCATCTCCCCTCGGAGTGGGATTTATTGCTTGAGTCATGTTATTTTCTGGTGTGATTATTTTTCATTATATTTTCCTTTGAGAGTCTGGAGACTATCCCTTCTCGAATTGGGACTTGATGTACACTTTTTCATTCTAAATTCAATCAATTCGACTCAAGCTTTATCAGATTCCCTTTTAAAAATTATGCTAGGTCCAGGTAGGGGTAATGAAATTTTAAAAAGCTAAGCTCATAGGAAAGCCTGAAAGGGTCACATGAGCACTCATGATCATTACATGCTTGATCAAAGGAAAGCCGGAAGGGGAATAGTGATGTTTTGAAATCTAATAATAGCTCTCAAAAGGCAAATGTATTCAATTCATGGATTGTATTAATTCTACATGGACTTGAATATATTTCAATGTATTTTACTATCGGGATTTGTTTATATTCTAAAAATTCCAGAGATAGTTCTAACATCAATAATTGATTACAAAATCTGGTATGTTGGGTTGTACTTTGTACCCTTGTGGATATACCTATGGATCTGAATGTTTAATTCCTTCCGGTATAGAGTTGCTCATAGAGTAGAGAAATACAACTGCCATCGAAAAATTGAATTATCTCACAATCGCTTGAGCATGCACATTTCATTTACCATTAAATAAGCAGTCAATTCCTTAACAAACAATGTAATGATCATTCGCATGCTACTATACGAGTTTTATGTATATCGAAAACACATTAGGGCAAAGATTACTCTATGAAGATAAAGGTCATGGCAATATTGTGGCATACTACGATGATGTTAGGGGCCACATCGGGGTATTATATCTTGATAGATGGGAACTTAATCCTGTGGAAGAGCTGAAACAAGATTCGGTTACCAAATCAAGTGCAGAAGCAGAATACAAAGAAATGGTGGCTCGAGCTGCATGTGAGAGCTTAATGGTTCTCAATGAAACACAAACTCCTCTTCCCAGAAATATTATACGGGAGCAAAGAACCAATTTGGTTAAAGTGAGATTTTCAAGCATCAGTACACATCACATCTCCTAATCTACCTGCACACTTCCACATTTTTAGTCCAAGAATATATAAAAATACATTTTTATCATAAATTAGGGAGAACGAGATTTCGAGCCAAAAAACTATTCATATTAAATAAAGTGTGACAGTAAATGCGGATAAAAATTCTTTTAATCTTTATACAGAGTATTAAACACTTGCCTACTAAGGCAATTCCATTTTTAAAAATCTACTACAAAAAGAAAACAATAAAAAGATATAAAAGGCATTAAAGGATAAAATCACAACAACAAACGTGGTAAAATCTCACATGGTGTCGTAAAAGGATACATTGAAAAGAACTCAATCTCTAAATTGAGGTTTAAATATCAACTTGAACAGTTGCTACAACCCGTACTACTCCAATTACTCCTAAAGGCTGACCAATTGTAGATTTTGTAGACTTAATCTAAAAACTAAAGAAAGAAATACACATATTTGTGTATATTTTGATTATGTGAGAAAATAGGTTTGCAAAATAGAACAAAAGTGAAACATGTTGTGAGTAAACTAAATTTGTAAAACTTCCAAAGCTCCGGGTTCTGACCAAAACATCAAAGAAGGGTTTGAAGGTACAACAATGTGGCTTCTGCATTTATATAGTAAATATAATCCATGCAGAGCACTCAGTGAAATTATGCACTGATTTATATAGTAAATATAATCCCTTGACATCAAAAGTGCAGTCTGAGATACTCAATAAGAAACATGTAAGTTTTTTGGTAATTTATAGCAAAGAAAAGTTATATTAAGAAGCACACGTGTGTTGTTAACAATTTTTATTAACTTGATAGTTTATATAAATGATAAATTCAAACAAAAACTTTTGATTTTATTGAATATTTAATGGGTAATCCTTTAGAGTTTAGATGACTCAATCCACTCAATGATTTCATCACCAATCTTCTCAGAATCATTTAAATATTTTAGCCAAATTTTCAATCCATCAAACACACTCTATATGTCCATCCCCTCTTATTCATTTCACGAATGTAATTGACCAACCATTCACGAATTTACAAAATAGAATCAATGGTCAAATATATAAGTTAAAGGATAATGTAACACATCATCAATTCATAAAATATGTACAAAATACTCCGTACCAATTATCAGATCATTCAAAGAAGAATTCATAGAGGGATTAGACCATTCAAACGAAGAAATTTATAAAGTAATCAAGGCATTCAGACGAAGAATCTCAATGTGTAAAAATAAGGAAACTTACGGTACTTGGGCAAGAGGTTGATGTTGAACAGTGAAATTCCGTTAAACTCGCCCGGAAAGGAAATAAAGTCAGTGAAGGAAAACACATCTCCATATCCAATAATTTCAAAGAAATTTCCCTGGTCTCGGATTCGTTTGCGAAGGAAACTTACTGTATTTGCTATCTTCTCCATATCATAGAATTTCCCTAAAATTTCGCAGAGGATTGAGTGTGTGATGAAGTCTCGAGAGGATTCAGTGGATTCGCAGAGGATTCAGCGGGTGACGACAATTTCGCATAGGAGCGTCGATGATGATATCTCTAGAAAGTCCAGATCCGCTGAGGGAGGATTGTGTGGGTGAGCTCATATCCAGCATCATTGGACTGGGTCATCTAGATCCGTTGATATCCGTACCTTTGATGACATGGCTGATTAGGTGTCAAAAAATATTTCAGTCATCACGCCAAATGTCGCAATTCTAAGAGTTCAACTCTCAAATATTATATATAAAGGAAGGAGACTCGGATGCACGAGAATGCAACATTTGGCACGCCTATTTGTCTAAATTCAAACAAGATCACACATGACTATATTTAGGCTTACACATTAAGAGAATTTGATGAGTCAAAGTGCTTAGATGAACAGTTCCAAAAGTCAAAAGTGGACAACGACAGTGGAACGAAGGTAGTACAATCACTTCTGGACGAAACATATTCAAGTACATGTCATCTCAATCTAATAAATCCAGCCAAGTAGTACATGAGTGAAAGCCCTCTCCACTGCCCCAACATTCATTGCATCAATAAATCCAACCAAGTACTTCACAGAAGACACCCTCGACACTGCCCCAACATTGATAACATCAGGCTACAATGAAAATGGCACAACCCCAAACCATGTTCATTGAAAATGGTACAGCCCCAAACCATTGTATTCATTATGATGCCCCAAACCATGTTCATTGAAAATGGCACAGCTCCAAACCATTGTATTCATTATGATGCCCCTCAAATCTCAAGTCAAGTTGAAAAGGAGAAAAAACATTTAAAATCTCATTTCAAAGCAATTATAAAGAGGCTCAGATATACACTATCTACTTATTTCAAGGAAAAGTGATAAGATAACGCCATGGCTGCTTCTAGCTAGCCAGTTAGCCACACCAAGTTACATAATCCTTCCTTAACATCAGTAAACCAAATAAAATAAAACATGGACAATCAATCATCACAACCTCTTTATTATTCACTACTATATATATATATATATATATATATATATATATATATATATATATATATATATATATATATATATATATATATATATATATATATAAGATGAATGAAAATTTAGTAGCACTCCAACCTTCAAAAGTGAAAATTTACAAATATGAAATATAGAGGCTTTGAAAAAAGTATTTGTGGACAATTACCATTTCAGCTTATTATTAATGAAAACTACTTCCTCTTTCAAAGAGCCTCATTGCATTACACAGTGTGACAAAGCAAAAACTATTAAAATTGGATTTCAAGCCAGTAATAATTATTAGAATATATATCTATTAAATAGAATATTGAAAAACAAATAAAACTTTTGAAAGAGCTGTGAAATCATAAAATGTAACGAAGGATAACTTGAAAAATAAACTCTCATGATTTAATGTATAATTTTCTTTTAAAATACTTGGTTGGGTAGAAAACACTTAGCCATTTTAAATTGAATTTATTTATAAATCAGTATACATTTACTAATTATAATTCAATGAGTTGTTAAAAATATCCCATGGTTTAGAAAAAAAATTTCTTTAGGTAAACATGAAAAAAATTTGGAGTTAGTCATTGTTATGTCTCATATATAAAAGTTATTATTGCCAATAAGATCTTACAATGACTTCAATGCAAATAGTAACAACTTACTTCATCAAACTTCATTACATTGTATTAAACACACCTGGAAAAAAAGAAATTTACTTTAGCATACACTGCTAAATTTCAATCTTAGTATACATTTAAATAGAATTTAAGGAAACTCACTACGGACCTCAAATAAACATATAAAACAGACCTCAAATAAACATATAAAACAGTATTCTTCTGGTTGTAATACTTTTAAATAATATATAAATATTTTTCTAAATCACAGAGAGGGTCTGTATCAGTGATGGGTGATGTATAAATTTAGGAAGGATTTATCCATACTAGAAGATTTTTTTTAAATAAAAAATACTTTTATTTAAACGAATAGGGTAAATAAAATTTATTTGAAATTTATGTCCCAACCCAAAAAGATAGAGAAGGGCAGCATATACAAGTTAATTGATTTCCAATAGAAGAATAGAGAAGAAGGGCAATGTAAGGAAGCCAATGTATTTTCGAAGCCAATGTGAAATTAGTGTTAAGATCTATACATTTTCAGTAAAACAACTATTCAGTGAAATAAATGAAGAAATGTTTGGGAAATAAAAGTAAGGCATGTTAATTGAATCAATATTATACCTTTTCCCAAGCAAAACAAATCGTCATAGATCGGAGACCCCTTCTGTACAGACCTTAAAGGACAAAATTTAGATCAAAATGAAACTTTTCAGTTCGAGATGCAGAGTTGTAGAAGTCTCTGTCTTTCATCGGAGACTACCTCGCCATGTCTGTGAATCACTTTAAAATTTTACCCAAAAAAAATTCCGATCATGCAGTAAAAACATATAGATCTTCAAAGAAACACCCAAAAATTTCACAAAATAAATTCAATACAAATTTAAAAAAGGTCTATCATCGGAGACCATCCTCAATAACACCAAAAATAATAGATTCGTTTCTAAAAAATATAGATCTTATCTGATTTTGCATCTGCGAAGAAATCTATAAAATAAAACGTATAGATCTTCAAAGAAACACCGACAACTTTCAACAATAAATCAAAACATATTCAATAAAGGTCTATCATCGGAGATCATCCAAAACATAACTATTATACTATCTCATAGTATATCTATTTCAATAACACGAAAAAAATAAATATTATTGAAAAATATAGATGGTATCCCATAGTAGATCTATGAATATATTTATGAACATTATTACCAAAAATTATAAAGAAGATCGAACAAACAATGAGACAAGAAGAAGAAGAGATGAAAGCAACGAAGCATATGTCTAAAATGAATGGTGAGAGAAAACTAAAATTGGGTTTTATCGTGATTGTTCAATATTTCTACTTATAATTTATATACGGAGTCCTTTTACCCTCCTTTTGCCCCCCACTATCATTCCTTTGCACCAGCACCACCGCCGCCCCTCCACTGCCGCCGCCCCTCCACCGCCCAGCCCCACCGCCCCACCACCCCACTGCTACCCCTGACCCACACCCTGTTGGAGTTGTGCCCTGATGGCCAAGTTTATCGTTATTCTATCATGTATAGTCAGATATAATATGTTTACACATCTCATGCTAATGTAAACAAATATTATATTCCTAGATTTATATTTAAAAGATGTTTATCAGATAGTGTTTTTCTGCTGATGAGACTAACATCTTGAAATAAATATTTATCTAAATGTCCATAGTCGATCATTAACGAGAGTGGGATATCGTTAATGCATGTGAGACTAGTGTGTGTTAGATGTTTGACTTAGTCTCATAGTCAATGACGGTGTGTTCGCATCCGCACATGGGCAGATATTATCTAGAGATAATAGGATGCCGGACTGACCCATCCTAAAGATGTTGCTTGAACTTTTAGTTCATGCTCTAAGCATCTTTAGCGCGACCACGGGTGTAACTATCCTTCGACTTGAAGTATTACGTTTTCTGCATATGTGAACCCGCATACTTTGATGCATTGTCCTAAGCCATATGAAATAAGGATGGTATACAGGCTTTGTTTTGGGTATGCCGCAACGCGTATTCAGAAACGTAGATTACGTACATAGGATTTGTCACTACTCTTTTT